ATGGGGGGGGAAAAATCGATAAATAAATGGAAGTCAAAGAAGAAAACTGCAAATCTTTGTTGATTTTGCTTCGTCATAGTAATGTAGGAATAAAGAGAAACGGTATGTTGCAAGTTGCATACCTTCAGGACGTTCACAAGCGCTTTGCTTTTTGTGATTTTTACTGTTAAAACGTAAGTATTTTTGTTGAAATCATTTTCTGTTTTTCTTCTTTTAAACTTTTTAAATTGTTTAATTTAAAATGATRTATGTTTTCCTCATAAACATACACYGAGTTTGTCTAATTCCTTCAAAAAYAGCATATTTKTGTCTTTCTATGCTACTTAGGTAATGTTTTGCTAACTTTAGCTTATATCTGTTTTGCTTCATTTAGCTTGTCACTGCTCATTTTAGTTTGTAGCAACCTATTAGCTTTTAGCTACAGTTTTGCTGATTTTAGCATCTCTTCTGCTTAATTGAACTTGAACAGTTTAATTACTAATTCCTTTATCCAGCACTCAGTATCTTCACTGCGTTGTGCAGAAAATGTAATTTATCTAGCTTGTATATCTGGTTGTTTTGACATGACTGAAGCAGATTCTTTGCAGTTTACACTCGCAGTGTGCTGTGCTGTCCTGCTTACAAGATGATATTCATGGTGACTGGATTTAGAACAGTAAGCTTATGACTAATCGAGTCCTGATCGAACGTTAGCCAGCATGATAACGGGCTTTGTATGGAGCAKCCCGGCTGTCCATCAAACCAGGAGTGAAACAGACCGCCCCTGTGTTTCTGTGAAAATTTATCATGCTGGCATCTTTATTTGTTTGTYCTTGACACTATTGATTCACACAGCAAGACCTCTTGAGTTATTGACAGATATGTGCTGAACAACACAATATGGACTTCAATTAATTGGACAGTTTTATAAATAACTACTGACATTATTTTGTGTGTTACCAATAATCAGAGTTCACAGTTTTAGCCATGGACTAATTGTTCTGAGAGACACAATAGTTAGGTTTCTTCACAGGTTCTAATTTGTAACAGTTTGAAAGCTTTGGTTTTGATTAAGTCTGATTTAAGTTTCTCTATAAGAGTTATTATTTAATAAGAGCCTGAAAAACCTATCTTTTAATCTGAATTAAAAATTTGACTGTGTTCAAAAAAAAATTGTATAGGTCTTCTGGACGGGTTCTTCTTTAATGAAACGTTTCGTCTCTCCTCCAAGAGACTTCTTCAGTCTGAGAGTTTCAGGCAAAATTCAGGCTTTTAAGCCCTGCCTCCATGTGACTGATACTCACATCACATGGCTATCGTTGACACCTAATTAACACTTATTGTTAACAGGGGTGGAGTGATACTGGCAATAGCAGCACTGTAGGAGGGGGACAACTGAAAACGGAGGCCTCCACCTCTGTTTAATGATGGATGGTCTTTCTTCACAAAAATGGCTTCTTTTACTCCTCTCTCAAACCAACGTTCCTCTCTATCAAGAATGAGAACATCCTCATCTCTGAAAGAGTGACCGCTGGCCTGTAAATGAGTGAAAACTGCAGAGTTCTGGCCATTAGATGTAGCTCGTCTGTGTTGGGACATTCTTTTGAACAGTGGTTGCTTTGTTTCCCCGATGTATAACTGGTCGCAGTCCTCCTGGCACTTAACCGCATATAAGACACTGGGACATCATGTTTAGAAAATAAACGTCTCAGTTTCTCCGAAACDCCCGCAACATACGGAATAACCGCTGGTTTGGGTCTGGGTTTGGGGTCTTCATTTTCACTTCATTTCAATTCATTTTGACTGTGTTGATAACACAATTCTTACAGGGAACCACCACATGATTGATTGGTGCATCCTTAAATAAAGTGAAAAAAGTTAGTAAAAAATAGCTTATTTTAACTCGCATGGTAACAGTTTTTATTATTATCAAGTCCTACATTACAGTACATTAGCATCCAGTTGCGTTTGGGTCAGATTTTATAAAATATTACTGATTAATTTTGTTTACAAACTTTAACTTTAACTGCTAGTGTCCAAATAAAACTGCAATTCAGCACTCACCTTATTTTTTTAATGCTACTTTCATATATTCTGTGCTATGTTAGCCATTCTTATCCCAAAACATTCAGCTCATTCACGAAATGAGTGCTATGAACTTTGGTTTTTGTAACTTTTATATTTTTTTTAACTTTTTTAAGTTTATTTACAATTATTTTCCTCATAAAAACACTTTAATATATCTTTAAATCCTTTAGAAACTGTTCTTTCAAAATTAGTTTCTCTTTTGTCTTCTTATGAATCTTTTAGCTAATGTTTTGTACCTTTGGCTTCTAGCTACCCATTTGATGCTTTTAGCTATCCTCTTGCAACTGTTAGCTTAAGTTTTGTTTCTTTTACCTGACAATGCAGTTTCAGCTTCTTCAGAACGTTTTGTTAAAGTTATCCTGCACTCAGCATTTAAACAGAAAATGTAATTTCTTTAGTTTCTTCTTCTTGTTAATTCAAAGAAGATGGATTTCCTGAATAGGCCCAGAGGGATCCACTGAATGGACTTAGTGTCTTGTCTTACAGTAACCGACATCCTGGTTGGCTTAAGTCGAGGCAGGGCAGGGATGATGACGTCGCTGAAGGATCTGAATTATAGATTATAGTGTGTGAGAGTGCTGCTCAGTGTGGTTGTGCAGAGCTGTTTGGTGAATTTGGGAGTTTCCTGACACATGGGAGAGACTGAACTGAAACATCCTGCAGTTAAAACCACAAAGTGCTGTGAAGCCGTGCACACTATCTGTCCTCTGTGTGAACAGATATGTAGTAATCTGCATTCAAGTCTGCAGTTTCCTTCAAACATTGCCTTTATGCTGCTTATTCTTAATGTAAAATGTACAACATGGAGATATTTATAAGCTACAGCAAATAGGCCTTCGTGGCATATTTTAATGTATATGATAATGCAGGTGTGACCTATAAATGACCATATTGCCTCGCTCAGTGACTCACTCAGCAGAGCAGATTGTTTTCTACCTCACAGTCAGTATACGTTGTATCATTGTGCTCCGGCGAGCTCCGACAGTCACACAGCAGCACTGCAGGTAGTCTGATGGATGTCAGCGTGTGTCGTGACTAATGATGAAAACAACCATTTCCTGCTGCTTTCTGAGCCCATGTTTAACCAGGCATTTACAAYTTAAATTAGAATGTTACACTTTACATTTACCCTCGTAGGTTTCCAAGGTGAAACTTAATGAACATTAATAGTTGGGGAGCTTTAGGTAGATGTCATAAATTTGATTATATAGATCAATGTTTCCCAAAGTTGGGGTCGGGACCCAAAGTGGGGTCCCGAAACATCAAGGTGGGGTCCTGAAAAGATTTTCTGAATTAATTACATTTTTGCCTTWGTTGTTACAAAGGAGTGAGGTTAGTATATTTAAAATGGATACATGTAGTATAATAAATAATGTCACAATGCCCGTTTTGTTGACCTGATACAAATGTTTATCATCCAAAAATAGCTGGGGACACAGGTGTCTATTTTGTGGGTCAAAAGCTGAAAAGTTTGGGAACCACTGCACTTTGGTTCCCAAAGTTGGGCTTGGGACCCAATTATGGGTCATGAATCACCTTGGATAATCTCCAGAAATCAATTTAAAGGGTAATAAAATAATTGCTGATGTAATATTTACAAAAACACAAAATAAATAAAAATAAGTATTTATATTTGTGTACAAGCTGTTTAGATTGTCAAAAAGCCTGTGTTTTTAGGGTTATTAACAAAGCTCATGTACTCAGACCAGTAATATTTGGGTTCACAAGTTTTTGCCATGGATATTTTGTGGGTCAGAAGACAAAAAGTTTGGGAACCACTGATACAGATCATGTAGATTTGGTATTTATTCACCAAAACATCTATTTGGATGACCTAAATGTTGCACACTGGAGGTTGTTATTGGTTTGTTGCCTTGTTTCCTATTTGTAATTAAGGTAATCATTCTTAATTGGAGGTTAGGTGCACATAGATAATTGAGATTGCCACTAAAACTGTGGTGTTTGTTGTAATATTTTATAAGTTTTAGAACATTGCTTTTAGTAGAGTTGTGCATCATTAGATTATAGAATCTAAGTTGCGATCAAGCTTTTGCTTTTTACTGAAGATAAAACCAAATGCACAACCAGCTGAGCTTAAGTTGCTCTCAGTAAGTTAATAAAGCCACAACTCAATCGCTAACAATTGTTCTAACACAAAATTCATGATCTTTATGAGGCTAAAAGAGACCTACCTCAAGACAAATTTGGCCAATCTCTACAAAAAATGCTTCAGTCAGCTGTTTTAGTACAAGTAAAAACAACAACATGGGCTCATGGTTCGATGACTGCAGTCAGTTAATTATGTAATAAGTTTAAGTTTAATGTGTTGTTAAATAGATAATGTACTTTGTTTCTGCTTAGATGACATATGTTACAACTTGTGATTTTATACGGGTTACACGTGAAACAGTCATTCATCAAATCTGTTGTCTGAGAAAAATAATTGTCAATTATGTCAAAATATTATCTTATATAACAACAAAAATTTTAGAGTTTTTTAAAAAAGTTTAGATGTTCAAATACACCCAGATTTAAACTGTAGCCCAAATGAATATTTTGCACATTCACTGATATCAGAAAATGTGTTTAGATGTCGCAGCAAAATGTTTGTTTTGATTCGGATACGATTCTGTAGAGTTCAAAGATTTGTCTAATATATGCTGAGAACTCCTGAGCGGCACAGATCTCAGCAAACGTGATGAAAGGCTTTACTCGCTTCTGTGCAAATAATGAGGAGGATCTTAAAAACTCATGCTTCAAAGACTAGCTCGGGGTGTCGCAAGTCAGCATCCGTTAGTCAGATTAGCTGACTGAAATAGAGGAAGGATCATTGTAAAAAGCCTTGGAGAGGCCCAGATGCTCGTTTCTGTCTTCACGCAATGAGGAACAATAAGTGAGTGAAATAGTGTGACTTCCTGACTTTTGTGTTTCAGATGTAAGAGAGTGTCAGAGGATGTCCCTGATCTGCGGGGCTCAGTACTGAGGGAGGTCCACGGAGCTGACTGGTGCCCACCATGTCTTACCATCATCAGTACCAGCGAGGCCCCCACGGCCGCACCATAAGCTCTGAGGAGAGGGGTTCTGCGCCAGTCAAGACCTCCACGCCGGTCCACAAGAGCGCCTCGTCCTCCTCTTCCTCTCAGAGGGACAGCCGGCAGGTAAAATTCTAGCAGCAGGAGGAACCCAATGAGCTGTGGATTCAGGAGATGGCTGCAACGTGAGCAGCGGCTGTATTTAACGTTACAGTAGTTTAAACTATGACAAGGTTCAATCAGTGGCGCTCCTAATGCAAGGAATAAGAATTTAGAAAATAGGAAAACGTGAAACTACTGAGTGGAACAGCAGCAACATACAGTAAGCTGATGAACAAACAGCGTAAAAAGTAAGGAAATGTGCGTTTGGTAGATTATTTCTTTATTGTAACAATGTTTCTTGGCAAAAACTCTTWTACCAAGCACCTGACTGGAGGCACCAGGAGGAACCAGAAGCTCTAAACAAATGTCAATAAATAAGCTGTTTGTAAATGGCAGGGAGGATTTGGCAATTCTTTCAAGTTTGTATCCCACAGCTCTACGCTTCATCTCACAAAGGCATGTTTCTTACAAATGTGGCAACATTTATTTTCTTTTACCTTCTATTTAACCAAACAAATCCCACTGAGATCACAGATCTCTTTTGCAAGGGAAGCCTGGGCCTGACTGCAACCTATTGTTCATGTGTTTGGTGAGTGGGAGAAAATCACAAGTACGAGGAGAACATACAAACTCCACACAGAAAAGACCCAGGTCCGAACTGGGGATCAAACCCAGGACCTTCTTGCTGTGCAGCATCAGTGCTAACCACTGATCCATCATGCTGCCTGTTAGAAGGCATTGTTACAACAAAGAAATAATCAACCAAACACAAACTTCCTTACTTTTTATGCAAAAAACATAAGATTTAGTTTAATGACATACCATAAAATCTTTACAATCTTTGCTACAACCAAACAGTTAATTTGTTAATCAGAAAAATCTTTGCAACCAGTCTGGAAGAAATGTAATAAGAGATCAACCGTTTAATCGTTCGACCACTTTTTAAACATTCTGTAACAAATCGGTTACTAAAACGATAATTCATCAGGATCTGATAGGCCACAGTATAGTTTTGTGTGTGTGTGTGTGTGTGTGTGTGTTTTGTTCTTACAGAATGAACATTATAGAATGTTCTTCTTTGTATATTTTACAAACTGAGAAATACATACTGGCCCAAAAAAAAATAAATCATTGCTGTAGATTGACACATCGACCATCGGCCGCTATGATTTCTAAAGATTGGCTTTGGTTATTTTTAAATTTACCCTAAAAACAGGAAATAGGCAGGATGCAACACATTAACAGATACTGAATTTGTCGAAGTGAATTTCACACTTTAGATGTTGTCATAATAGTCAGCTAATGGTTGCTGATTTATTGTTTGTGAAAAGGAGATAAACAGCAATCAGTTTTACAAAATACTATTAATGAATTAGTTAATCAGCTACAATAGAGCAGCCTGAATGTCCTGATCACTAAGTATGAACCGCACAGAGAAATGGTAAACAATGAGGTACGTTCTCATTTCATAGTTCACAGGACAGGTGCTTTAACTTAACCCCCGCTGTCATGTGAAGCCCCCCCTCTCTCATCGAGCTGCTGTGTCACTGTGGCCGAGCCGAAACGAGACACCCATACTGGAATCTCTGACATCACCGCTGTTCCGTCGGCGCTGGCTGATGAATTTTGCATGAGAATCAGGTGGAGGGGCMTGGCGCTCCACTGAACACGTGGCACACTCAGCGAGGCTGTGAACGAGTTCAGTTTGTCTGCAGGAGCAGAGAGAAGGGAGCTGCTGTGAGAGAAATAAAGCCCAATACAAAGGCCTACTGCTTTGTGACGCAGACACTTAACCCTTCTCATGGGCCTCTGCTCATTATTTCCTTCTTTACGGGTGTAATCTTGCTTTTGATGTATTTTGTTTCCCAAGGGCTTTTCTCCTAATTATCTCTTTTATTGTAGCCTAGTTGATAAAGTCAGCCAAGAAAGTAGCCACTAAAACTGAAACAAACGACTATACTTTTGTTCACCTGCTTGAGCAAAACCTTTAAAAAAATTAACAAATTAGTAGTACAGCAGGACTTTCATTGGGGATTATAAGGATTGCAGCTGTTTTATGTCAATATTTAGCAGCGAATGATGTGTCGGTGTAAGTGAGGATGACGAGGTTCGTATTGAGCTGCTGTAACTCATTTGTTGGAGTCAGATGAATCCGTCTTTACGTAAGATATGGTACAAGTCTGGGACAGTTGATGATTTAAAGAAGAAACGTCTTTGATGCAAAACGCTGTAAAAACTATAGACCTTCTGGTCTGTCAACACCAGTTATTTTACATTAAAAGAAAACACCTTTTGAGTCTAAATGATTAGGTACAAACATTTCTAAAATCCATGCAAATTAAAAGAGAATCAGGTTATCAGCCACCATGATACTGGCACCAAAGTGCAAAGCAGACAATGAAATGTAGTCTATTTCTTGTTTAGACATTTTTAGTCAGAGAGGTAGGATATATAAATTATGAATACATCATGGTAAAATCCAGATCTATCATAATGCTTTTTTGTTCCTTTAGAGTGGGCTTTACTTCCTAACTTATTATTATTTATTAACGTATTTATCCCAAATAAATAGTAGATTACCATTAACTGTGTTCTTTAACTTTCAGTCATTTATATTTAATCAAAATTTTAGGAATTACACAAACATATAACTCAAGTAACTCAAGGATGTTTGCATGTAAAACTGTAACTTTGTGTCAATCAAATGACGTTTAATAAATTGCATTAATTAAAGAGAGAGCTTAATATCAAAGGACAATGAAAACGTTTAGTTTAATGAAACAAAAAATGTGTATTATCTTTTTTTATAGGATGATATCAGAARAAACATTCACTCGTGATGGTGTTGATGAGTTTTTAACAGCAATAGTTGCGACAAGCCTACAGTTTTTCCCTCAATCTTCTCTTTTTTCCATCAACCCAACAATAACAATACTTAACATGTGCTTTAGCRTTTTTGCCCCCATCATCTAAATCAGAGGTGGGAGTTTAGGGCTGTAAGAGTCCATCTGATTGTCCTGCAGTTTGTAATCTCAATTATGATAAATTGTTGATAGTACAGTATGATGAACATTCTTTATATGGTCCAGATAAAATGATTGCATCCAGTTAACAGCCATAGGAAACTGGTTTGTTATTATTATACACCAAAAACAAGACTGTGATTGGTTGTTGCAGCATTTGTTAATAGYTCTGTTTCAGTCAGTGGTTTACCCCATTTTTCATTTTATTGCATGAGCTGTCAGAGTAACTGAGCTTGAATCCCATTAGCATTAAAGTCACAGTGATGGTGAGTGCTTGTGGTGGATCGGTCTCTTCAGGGCGTGTCTTTAATGACTGTGGTGTGTTTCWGCAGATCTGATGCCCTTCACAGACTCCTTCCTCTCTTGACAAGTCAAAAATGATTCAAACACAACATCACGCGTCTCTGAACCAGGGCTCTGAGAAACTATCAAGCATTTCCTTTACAAAACACAAGATTTAGTCTTTGATTTTTGCTATTCAAAGAAATTCACAAATACAGACAGTACAAACCTCTCACCCTGTTGGAGTTAAGTCACAATTATTATATTTATGCTGCAAAAAAAGCAACTGTTACACCCACGCGGTCTGTTTTTTAACCTTTTGTTTGGCTCTATCTTAAAGTAAGCATGTGTTAAGTTACATAACAACTAGTGTGTAAAAATAATGGTCCCCCTTCTGTTGTTTCTAACATAACAAAAAGGGTAGAAGTGTCAGTCAATTTTATTGTCTCTATGCATGCTGGGTAAAGTTATACCTGCACTTTTGTTGGATATTAACCTTTATTATAGCATTGAAGATTGAGTGTTATGTGCAGGGAACACAATCAATCTTCATTTGGACAGCGAACACACACACAAAAGACCTTTGCTAGCTTGGCTTGGCCTTGGTTTTTATGAAAAGCAGTGCTGCGTTTTGTTTTTGGGGAAGCTGAAATGGGATCTGGCTCTCATTTTAAAATCAATACTTGTCACTTTACCCTTTGCTGATGACTCCTGYTCACACTCGAGACCCTCATGAGAGCAATTAAAAGCACCACCTGCAGTAAGCACAGTTTCGCACAAACACTTTATGGATTTTTTGGCAAATGAATGAGTCTAAATAAAGCTGCAGTTATCTGGGGTTTCTGTTTTTGTTTGTTTAAAAATAATTCTGTACCCAAAATAACTGGAGATATTAGAATAATATAAAGACATTTTTAACTCAGCTGGATTTAAATAACAGTGAAATCATTGCCAGCTGATTTAAGACTGGCTGTTTGTTTATAATTTGTTTTAATTGCCTATTATTCAGATGTTTTACTTTAAATATAAATCGTCAAGCTGCCTGTGTTTTAAACTTTTTATAGTTGTAATAATGACGTTTTGTGTCCACTAGAATAAATAAAAGAATAAAATCAAGATGGATAAATGGTCCAGAAAAAAAAACTTCATGTATATTATTCTGCCTGTTAGCACCTATGATCAGAGGCAAATCAACACCTGTTCTGAGAGAAGAAGCAGAAATAACATTGAATTGGGAACATTCTTGTTATAAAAGCAACAGTGTCAGTCACTCTAATAAGTGACTTATTCACCACTATTATAAAGAAATTAATATGTGTTAATTTATTAAATATATATGTTTTAAAACATTTAAAATTAAAAACCAGTTTTTACTGGGGTTTTTTTTACTTTACTGAAAAGTTTCGTTTGAGTTTCAAATACAGAACCATAAGAGCTAAGAGGCGACACAGTTAGACTTTATGTTCCTGTAACTTGCATTGTTTGCTCAGTGCACAGGTCTGCTTTTCTTGGGGTGTTAATTTCCCATCATGTGCCGTTCCCCCCACCCCCACCCCTCCTTACCCCAAGACTCTCATCTTTACTGCTGAGCTGGTCAAACACCGTGGAGAAATCTACCCTTAAAGCAATAGGTCTGTGGTTAGAAGCTAGTCTTCCTGTGATGACTGTGGTGGATGGGATGAACATAATTTGATGTTTTTCTATCAGGCATTATGTTTTCATTGGATAACATAAAGGAGAGTACGAACAGTTTTATATGCTGCATTTTCAATTATTCATCAAGCAGTTTATGCAGAGCTACCTAACCATAATGACATTTTAAATCATTATTAACACTTTAAATGAAATAAAATCCATTCGGGCCTGACAATTTTGCAACATCAGACAGTAAGACTATGATGTTAAACAGCATTTTTTTCTAATAATTTCTATTAGACTGTTGAGCAAGTGTAAAAAGATATCAAAGCAATTTGTTAACTTGTTAAATGTTAAAGCTCTGCTGAGCTATAAATACACATGGATTATTTATTTATTTGTTTATTTTACTATTAAATAAATTATTAAAATAACATATTTATCCTATTGTCTTGAGGGATTTTTCCCCCCAGACTGGCTGAGGCTGATTATTTTGGAAGCAACCTTATTAGTTTATAATCATTTGTGCCCCTTTTCTGCCCCAAAACTGTGAAATGGTTTAATTTTTTACGTACGGACTGCTGAGATCATTGAGACTTTTAAATTTATGCTTTACACCCTTCTTTACTCTTGGTTTTTGATTTAGGCAGAGTTTAGGATATTTTTTATGGCTCTAATGGTTTTATGTTGTATTTCTGCATTTTATTTTATTTAGTGGTTCTCTGTTCTTATTTTGTCCATTTATTTGGCTGAATTGTGAAGCACTTTTATGTCATATAAATAAATTGACATTATCAATATATAGCATTATATAAAGATAAATTTACAACTTTAGAAGTACAGTATACTGTATGTATGCATGTAGTTATTGTGGCTGTTGTTGACTTTCGTTGCCTCTCTAAGTTGGTGTTACACTAGTTGGATTTTTATTCAAAATTTTTTGATAAGCACTTAAAATTTCCCATTGAATATCTTTTTTTTTACATTTCATACATTAACCCAACTGGGTGAGAGGTTGAGAGATTCCAACTAGATACAGTTGGACTCACCTTGACGCACCACTCTGGCTCTGGAACCAGTCTCCTCGAGAGGGGTTGGACACTCTTCCACTCTGGAGTTGCCCATGCTGAGAGGAACTGAGTAGGAGTGGACATACTTATTGCCCCCCATCTTGGTGCCTGTACATTGGGGTTCACCCAGGTGAACGAAAGTGTAGCCTCCCTCCGCCTACGTGTTGGGGGGACGTGTTCTGACTGTTGTTTGTGCCTATGTGCCCAACAACAGTCCAGAATACCCACTCTTTTTAGAGTCCTTGGAGGGGGTGCTATAGAGCGCTCCTAACGGGGACTCACTCGTTCTGTTGGGGGACTTCAACGCTCACATGGGCAATGACCTGAGGGGCGTGGTTGGGAGGAACGGCTGCCCCGATCTGAACCCGGGTGGTGTTTTGTTATTGGACTTCTGTGCTCGTCATGGATTGTCCATAACAAACGCAATGTTCAAGCATAAGGGGGTCCATATGTGCTCTTGGCACCAGGACACCCTAGGCCGCAGTTCAATGATCGACTTTATTGTCGTTTCATCCGATCTGCGGCCGCATGTCTTGGACACTTGGATGAAGAGAGGGGCGGAGCTGTCARCTGACCACTACCTGGTGGTGAGTTGGCTCTGATGGTGGGGGAGGATGCCGGTCAGACCTGGCAGACACAAACGTRTAGTGAGGGTCTGCTGGGAACGTCTGGCCGAGTCTCCTGTCAGACAGAGCTTCAACTCACACCTCCGGAAGAACTTTGAACATGTTCAGGGGAGGTGGGGGACATTGAGTCCAAGTGGACCATGTTCCGTACCTCCATTGTCGAGGCGGCTTATCTGAGCTGTGGCTGCAAGGTTGTCGGTGCTTGTTGTGGCTGCAACCCTCGAACCCGCTGGTGGACACCGGGGGTTAGGGATGCTGTCAGG